TGATAGGAAGTTTGTTTACGAGGCCGGGTAGTTTTTGCAGGGACTTTATTGTGAGCCAGTTTTAATAGTCCCGTACGTAGCGATCATTAAACGAACTACTTTAGTACTTCTAAATAGCTCTATGAATTCTAGACTTAAAACTATCGAAGTATAGTGTTTATTTTTATGAATACCTATGGTCTAGGTAAACGTGTTTAGTGTAAGTTTCCACTGTGCGAATACTTGTATAAAAACATATTTGAATTATAAAACAAGCTGTTAATGAAAAGTAAACACGAAAAACAGTGAGCTTGTAAGACGAGATAATGCAAACAAGTTAAGAGAGACATAAGCACACACGTTCTTATGTTTGAAGAACTCTCCAATTTAGTCGAGTTATACTGACTATGCCATAACGAAATTATGTTATTTAATTAGTTCGCACAGAAATTATGGAATTGTCTGCGGTATTCCCATATCAGTACTACTCAGGTTTCTTCAATAAACGAGCCTACCATTTCCTTTAAGGTCTCTGTAGTTAATTCCTCTGGTATTGCGGATGTCGACAAACCTCGTTGATCAACTCGGTATTTCGACTCGTTTGCCCTTTATCTTACAAAAAGTTATTATTGTCGCATTATCTCCCATACTCAGAGTACGCAAATTGTTACTTTATCAGTCCTTTAGTGGAGACGTACAGCTGCTATTCACATTGGTTTATTGGTTAGTAACATTAGATTTAATAAAAAAATTTCACCACTTAGTGAAGATTTATTTGCAGTTAATATATATTAAGGGGTACTTAAGAATTCCGAGAGACGTATACAAGCGACTGAACTAGTTACCTTTAAATTACAATTATTATATTCTTTTTCTATGAACAAGATAATTGTTAGTAGTAGTCTATCTACGCCCTTATTTTATTTACTAGAAAACCGCTTTAAATGTAAGAGGCATCGTGTTAGTTAGACAACAATACTGCAGGTAACATAAATAATTTCTTTGTTGTTCACAAGTTACTCCGTTACACGTAACTAAGGGGCCCGAGACAAGCCCCAAGGCTAGCTGTTTTGTATTAAAACTGACAAGACCGAAATGTACAAATCTTTGTTAGGTTCCGTAGATGTTATTTCAAATGGAAGACATATCAGCGATTTAAAACTATACGATAGATACCTCTTACATTTAGTATTTTTAGGCATGTTTTGCGTAATTTTTTAATTTTAATAAGATATTCCAAATAAAACCTGTCAGCCTTCAATGTCGCTTAATCATTACTTAAACAAAAAAAGAATATATATTAATCTGAATCTCTAAAAGTATTCCTTAAATGATTCTAAGTGCGGCAGTTGGATTTTTTTTTTCAATCAAATAAATAAATTTTCGTATACGGAACCCTAAATCGTTAGACGGCACAGTTCAACCCAGTAACCGCCATCTCTATCTAGGACAAGCCTCGTTGTTCTGTTGTTTTGTTTTCTTACAGACCAAAGTTTCTGCTCCGATGTCATTTTTTTCTTCTGACTTAAGTTTGATAAGATGAACGATTAGACTTCATATTTATTAGGTTTCGCGACGTTTTAGTAACAGAGCCCTATTTTAATGGAACTTTTCATATAGATTTATCAATTAGTAAATAAACAAAATAAACAAGTTTCTATAATCTTTAGAGTCGATTTATTAAGCGATAGGCGCTTTAATATCTACCTATACAAGCGACTTTTGTCAACCTGCCCTTGTTTAAGTGTAGCTATAGTATGTACTTTCATACATCAGCATATCTTTTACAGAATCCATCCTTATTTTCTGCTGTTTCTTGGCCTTTATATCCATATTCAGTCTTAATACTTTCTTGTTTTAAAATACATCTCTTAGCGTGATTCTTTAAAAGCCTAACATAAAAGAAATTGAATGAATTATTAAGAAAGCTTTGATCTCTATTTAAAAGTATAATATGAAACTCTAGTTGGACATTTCGAAATTGAAATGTAATGTAGAGAATTGTAAGTAATTTAGTATTTTCTTTCTCTGTTGCAAGCTGCCGCATAGAGAAAACGTCCGCAGTGTGAAACAAAAAGAAACCCCAGCACTATTTGCTGGGACATTCAATAATTAAAAATTGCGAAGTGAATTGTTTGGATCGACTTCGAAAAATTAATAGATGCTTACAGGAAATGCAGTTTTTATTTCACCCATTTTTAATGTTTCTTTTTTTATTTGCGAACAAGATTAATTACTACGTACGAATACGATGGAAATTAATTTCTTTACGTAATATTGAAGCTTTGGTAACCTTTTATTCCCTGAGGTGAATTGTGACAAACAATTTGAGATGTCAGAAACAGCGTCCGGGAATCGTAATTTCAATAACGCTGTATAAACTAGCTGCCGGTTGAAGATTCGTATTTGATATAAGATTTTATACTAGTCAATATAGGAATATTACGTAAGGCTAGTTTTCTATAGAAACTTTTTCATTAGAAAAAGATCATAATGTAACTAAACTAATCTAAATTAAGTTTTTCTTTTTAATTGCAATTTCGTATTTTGTATTATGTATTTTATTGTGCTGTTTAACATTCTGTTCTATTATTCATTCGCGCATTAATATTTTTTACAATATTTCTATCAATAAGGACCTATCATTGGCTCTACAATTTAATTACCAATGCTTTATAATAAATATCTGTTGTTTTCCTTGAAAATAAATAAAAAGATGAAGGTCGTTTTAATGTTTCCACATTTGCATACAAGCCACTGGCACGTGTCAAATACACGCATTTGTTCACTGGCATGCCAGAACCTGTCGTTTAAGTAGTTAGATCGCTATTTGATTTTGTTAGATATGTTGTTTGAGGGTTTGAGAGATTGAGGTCATATCATCAAGTCATCATCTTTCTCCTTATCCTACTCCCGTAGCGGCGCAACAGACTTTTGTCCTGCGCATAACTCTACCATACGTCATCACAATGATCACTCCCTTCTTGATCATGTCACCTTTCAAACAATCCATCAATCTCTTTCTAGGTCTACGTCTACCGGTGTACCTCCACACTCATAACTAGCGTTCTCCTTATAACATTCGATTCATCTCTCCTCATAACACGCCCATACCATGCCAACCTTTTATTTCTTACCTTCTCCACCACTGGGGCTACTCTCAAACTTCCTCTAATATACTCATTTCGTATCTTACCGGCATATCATCAACTGTATAATATTACTAGCATGTTTACCGCCTTTATTCTCAACATAGTTAAAATAAATTAGTACCAACTTTTTACCAAAGAAAAGGCCTATGAATGGCACATCGCCAAGTCGCACATTACATTACGGCCGCACAAACAAACAGCAAACGTATTTATAATTGCGTCTAAAACAAATTTCCTCATTAAAACCGCAAACCTTTGCCAAAGCAATTAACAAAACTGAATGTTATTCAGCCAACAAAACGGCCAAACAGCGGCAGCGGCCGTGTTAAATCAAAACAAAGGACTTTTCTTATTTACGTCGTGAAATTGGTAATGAGATTGGAGTGAGCTTGCACTATTCTACTACCCTAAAGTGTTAAGGCTGCCTACACACTAGACTGAATTCGTTTTACTGCTTCAGTTTAACTGTCCTCATAAAACACAAAGTATAATGTACCTGTACTATTATTTTATCTCTATATTTTTAACTAGTGATCCGTCCCAGCTTACCTTGGTTTACCTGCCTTATTAAATACCTATAATCGTCTCATATGTTTTATTGTCTCTGTCATATTACGTTTCCCGTTATTGTAGAATACAGCCAAAGTCTCATTATTTTATGTATTGAAATAAATCAATAACTACTTGGCCTATTTTAAACATTCTTTCACCGTTACAAATGTAATTTATCTGTGAGTAATATAGAGTTTTTTAGCAACAGCTAGCAAAAAATGTAGTCTATTTTATTCAGCGATAACGTAGCTCTCTAATGGTAAAAAAGTTTTCGAAATATATTCAATAGTTTTTGAGTTATTTCAATACATACAAAAATACAAATGTTTCCCATATAATATCAGTATAGAGTGTAAAAGACACTTTGTACTTTAAGTTCCTTGCTAGAAAAGAAAATATCCACCTGTGCCCAACATAGACTGGGATAAAAACAATCAGAAAGACGTATACTTGTGGGTTTATATTTTTAAATAGTAAATACTCAGACGCGAACGAATCCCGATAACATTAATCTGCGTCCTTCGTGAACGTAGCGAGGTGGCTCAGTTGCCAGTGAGTAATTAAGCTCTCAGCAGATTGATAGGTCTATGCGTTTGGCGTTAGTTTTAATTGGCTATTGTTCCGGACGAAATAAGTTCACAATTTGTGCATTTTGCCGCACGAATTGTGAAAAAGGTGCAGTTCTATATACTTCGAGTTCTGAAACAAAACTACTTGTTTTATTACGACTTGTTAAATTGGTTCTTGATTTTTTAATATCTTGAAGTGATGAGTGACTGAAATTCTACGAAATTCATGTTGTAATAGTTTATATTATGTTGTAGTTTTTGTCCTTGATTAAAAACTTTGTATGTTTTTTCAGCAAGTATTTTGAGTCCAATTGTTGCCAATACATGACTAATGGCCGGTTACCCATATACTTTTAATCATTCTTCTGTATTATTGGTTCGATAAATTCAAAGAATGCGTTTCCGAACTACGTAACGTGAGCTTTACTCCATTGAAACTCATTTTAACCTGACACCATTGAATCATTAGGTAATGATAAAATACATAGAAACTTCAGAAACTCAGCATAAATGATTTAATATTTCGTTTGACATTATTACAAACTAAACATTATAAGGCTAACACTTATGTCAATTTTTTTCGTTGATGGCACCGACTAGTTTAGGATCCATAAAGTGTCCATCACTGGGCGTTAATTGGCTTTCGTCTAATAAATATCCAGTTATTAGTAAATTTTTACGTTGTAAGCGGTTCTAACAATCGTTACAGTTTTTCAGGATAGATTTATAATGTTATCTTTGTCCACAGAATGTCAATATCCCACGAGCCGAATGCGACCTTCGCGGAGCTGGTGATCACCAACGTCAAACCTGATGATGAGGGAGTCTACCGCTGCGAGATCACATACCTGCAGGTGGGAGAGGACTGCAACACCGTGCAAGTCACCGACTTTCATACATACAGTAAGTGTTATCCGACTCAAAGGACCATATACCTAAATACACTATCCCGTTTAAAAACACCAGTTACATAAAAGGTGTCAATGTTCTTAGGGCTTATACAACGTTACATTTAACAGCCTATCCGTAAAAGGTATCTATAAAAATACTTTATACGTCCATGAAAAATGAGCTGATTTTATTCTCGCCTAAAATATTTCAACGGCCACATAAAAACAGTCGCAAAAACAAAATACTTGAGGCGAGTACATTAGTCGTATTGTTGGAGACATTAACAATTTATGGTCATTTCACACGAGGACAGAACACTAGTAAAGAGCCGTAGACTTGCAGTACAATTCGACCGATTACTTTCAAAACAGTTGGGTCGGCGTATGCGTTATTTTGCTACTCTGTTACTTACATTGCTACTCTGTTCTACCCTCGTGTGAAATAACCATTACTGCGCACCTGCTCAAATTCTATAGCGGTAAATCTACTTTGATTTAACGACACGAGCGTCGGGAGTTTTCCTTGTAAAAACTGTACCAAATTACTATACTTTGGAAATTTGACAGCTTGTCTCCTGTGTGTCGTAAACGATGATTTAGAGACTGATGCAGGGTAATCATTTAAAATGTTACCTTAGAGCGCGCACACCTTTGACTAAAATATCGCACAACTGTTCAGTCTTGCATTGATTCTTATGAGGTTATATGTAGGGGCGCACACTACACGATTTTTAGCTGTGCAACTAAACAGATGCCGGCTGCGAAACAATCGACAATCGCACAACAATTGTGCGGTAGTTTAGTCAAAAGAGTGCGCCCACTCTTATAGTATATCTCGCTTTTGTCTGCGATTTCATACGCACGGAATTTAAAAAAAAACTTAATACTTATGTATTCTTCCGGACTATGCCCCTTCATTGGTAAAGAAGATCGTGGGATCCTTTAAACCATTCTGGGATTTTAAAATTCAGCCATCTAAATAATATTAGTAAGAATATTCATCTCTTGCCTACAAATCATATTAAAAACTGGTAAAAAAGCCATTAAAATCTAGGCCTGAACATGAAAATACAGTCTTCTTTTGTACTAAAACTTAATAAAATAAATCCTAGACGTACTTCGTAAATCGTATCGAGTTCCACCAAATCCCGAAACATCCGTATATAAAAAGGGACTAACAAGTTAATCCATAAATTAATTAAGTATCGGGCACATCACTATTTCCTTTCCAAGGCAAGCCGTTTTGTTCGCGAGGATATTGCCTCGACTTGCCTCAGGCGATACAAGCCAACTTCATCCCTTTCACACTTGTATACTTTTGTATATAAAAGTGTATACGTGAAAAAGAAGTATACACATCGAGGGATATTTTATTTGAAACGTATATTTTGGGGTTGAGGATTATTGTATTGGTCGATTGCTTCTGTTTTTTTATTGAGTATAGATTATTCAGGAAATGTATAGTTTGTAAATGAGAACATATTTTCTAGGTTTTTTTAGACTCGTTACTTGCTGGCAAAGCTACAATTAAATATGTAATTCCCATCTGAGGCGGAATCACGTATTGTGTTCAATGTGAGGATGACATTAACGTCATCTGTCGGCGACATTTGCAACATATTGTTTTTATAATTTCCATTTTACCGAAGACATTTTAATGACGACCACAATGATACAGCGAGTATAGTCCCAGGTTCAAATATTATATAAAAAGTACGGGAATACACATGTCAGCTGTACATTTGTATGCTAGCAACTGTCATGTGCCTACTAACTAGGTGACAATAGCTAGCACGATGATGTAACATACATGCCAGTTACTACGTTTTTTACTGACATGGGTCTTATCAACAGTGATTAAAAAAAATAGCAATATTTTTGAACGTTTTGATTAATTACTTATTTTTGGATTTTACTTTTAGATGTTTTTTTATTAAATTTTTATAGAGTCAAGAAAGTTATTCTTTGTTAGAAGCAAATGTAAGAACAATATTTGATGAATAAATTGCTCTTGGGAATAGAACCCAATGTGCGCTTGGCAAAGTTGCTTTGTAACCTTAACACTTCGTTGCTCTGACAAAATAAAATACAAATTGAATACAATAAACAGGACCCCAATCGGGTCCCCTTTTAAGCTTGAATTTAATATTAATTAACACTAAGTGCTGTTGGGCGAGCGATTTTAAAGATTGAAAAGTACCCCGCGGGGTCTCTGCGACCCGTCTTGGTTTAATAAAGATAATGTCCCCGCCAGCGATTCAAGGGTTAAGGGGAAATTTTCACATTTATATGTAAATTTACTAAAACACTCAATCCGGGGTCAATCAAGTGACGAATAGATGCCGAGATATTTTCAGAGTGATTTTAATATTGTTAAAACGATGTTTACAAGATTAAATGGGTTTACAAAATGAATTAGAACCATGATATCGAACGATGCAAAGTTGATTAACGTTGTCTTACAAAATAGAGCAAAGATGAAAGCGCAAGAACTTAAGCAAATTGATATTTTCTTTAAGTAAACGGACAAGAAGAGCTTCATGTAATTACTTGCTGTTGACCGCAAATTAAAAACAAAAGTAAGTAATCTATGTGTTCTTCCAGACTATAAACTACATTTGTATATTCCAAATTTCATCAAAATCCATACAGCAGCTTAGACTACAACTCTAACAAACATCCATCCATCTAAACTTTCGCGTTCATAATATTAGAAAGATTAGTAAGAAGTTAGGTACTTTGTAGAATCGATAGTAATATAGTGATGCTATTGGAACATACAGTACCAGTTTTAGCGCTATCGCCTTGAGCTAGATTTCTATGCTGCCCCCTTATTTACCATGTTATTAAGGGGGGAGATAATAGACTTATTTGATAGCCTTATATAATAGATAATATATGAGAGAATGTATTCGCACATTCACAGATTTTACCGTCTCTTACTGTACAGAGCCCTAGATGGTTGCCCAACCAGGCTCTACCCTAGCACTGGGATAATAAGTTTAGGGACGTCCTCAATTGTTTTTTCTCCTAATATACTCGTAAATAAAAGCTATTTCTAATTAGGCACATTTAAAGGAATGATTAGTGTACCTTGGCAGTTCGCCATATACTGGGGCAATTATTATGCCCGCGGTAATATTTACGTACGTGCTATTTGAAATCCGTTGTGGTTTGCCGCTCGTTGACAGCTAACGTGCGGTCAGGGCCCCGCTCTGGGGAAACTGGGATTGACACAAATTGAACATGGTAGATTTCACCTTTGCTAAATTGTATTAAACGCTACTAAATTAAAGTTATCTTAACTTCCTTTTTGTGTAGATATAACAATATTGAAAAATTTCCACTGGCGCGGTACAAAGGGCAAGTCGCTCGGCAAACCGCTTAGTGGAAATGATAACTAAGAATTGAAAGGTTAAGATCTCATGTATTTGGTACTCGAAGAGTTGTCAATGTAATATAAATACAGATGTCTAATTTTAGTCTTTCTTCCCTTTCTATCTTTTAAGTACAAGGCAATGATGGCAAGAGGCAGTAGATTTAGCAAGGGAAGGGACGCATTGGTCGGGAAAATGTTATCTTCTATTGACTTAAGGGTGGGAGCAGTTATTTTGGTGAATTCGGTGACTTCTTGCTCGTTTGTCTTATGCTGTAAAAACACAAACACCCTAAACAATATTATCCATAAATTGTATATATTTCTAATGTAAAATCAAAACCATATAAGATATCAAATTCCACTTCTAAGTCCGGAAAGCTAATTAAAACAAAGATTACAATCATAACAGATATACCCTTATATCTAATTGACTTGGATCCGGATAGTTTTAGGGAGTTTTTTTTTTTTTTTTGACTGATTTGTCACTGTTTGCCTTGAAGAGGCATTTACAGATTCACCGGGCTTGAGGTGGCCCAGCGCGGATGGCGCTTAGCCTAAACCTCTTTTAAGAGTAACTAGGCTCGAGGGCTCCCTCAGGAGCCTCGGCTCGGGCCGTTACTTCGTTATTTTTACCGGATTGGGAGGCCACCGAGCTCTTAGATCGCTTCGGTGGTCGCTCCATGGAGTGACTTAGCACAAGGGTCCCCGAGAGGGGACCTCGGCTTGGGCTGTCACTCAATACGCGTTTTTTAGGGAGGACTACCCTAGAGGTTATATGGGGATGGTTTCCCTCCCCCTCCCGAGACGGGTTGCATAATCGAATGTAATTAACAATGCTATGTAATGGTAGTATTAATTAATTAGATTGTTTGTATTGCCGTTTACAGGGTCAACTGTAGTTAAGAGCAATTGATATTGTGTTTAGTTTGCCTATTATGAACCATTTGAAATCAAATACTGGGTAAAGTACTCAACGACTAAACTAAGCTCGTAGTATAATTTGAAACGATAATTCCTATTAAAATATCTAAGATAGATTACGGATATATAAAAGGATTTATAGAAGATTTTTTATGTTATTTCAATCTATTTTATTGCATAATAGACTTATATACCTTGAAAAAAAAAATCATCTGTATCTTCTATACATATAATAAAATTAGAGTGTCTCTTTGTAATATCAAAAAACAAAATCCAGATTTCGGAAAGATGTATTTGCGTTGCTGATAACGAAAATCGCATTTAATTTTTTCTGTCTGTCTGTACGCATACCACATTTGATGAAGGACCGAACATAGACGGGCAAATTATAAACTACTTTTTTATTTTAATATTGCGTGGACGAAGTCGCGGGCAACAGCTAGTATTAAAATAAAGTTTTTCTTCTAGCGATTGAAAAAAAAATTAATTAAGTACTCAATTAAATTCAATTTTGTGCGTTTTTTTATGTTTTATGTTTAAATGAAGGTTCGACGTTTTACTTTATCTTTTTGGGACACTGTTTTAAACAGACAAATACAAGCCGATGTAAAAAAGTGGTGTAAGCGGGAAGGAAACGTCACACAATTCACGCGGTTCTGAAAAATGCAGTTTTATACAGGCGATTTATTCGGGTAGCGCGATGTACATTGCCG